TTTTTTAAATCAAAGAACAGGCTGGTTGTACTGCAGCAGTGAGATGACCCTCTGAGAGGCTGAGCTGTGGGAACGTTCTGGGTTCGTGCTCAGAGACCTCACTGAACATCCATGATCCAGGACTGACTAAAGCCAGGGGGTGGACCATGGTGGGAAGATACTGTTGGGGTCTCTCTCATTCATGAAAGAAAGAAACCTAAAAATAAATTAAAGAAAATAGTAGTTACCAACAGAAAAATCACAAGGCTATATTAAAACAAACCATTTAAAGATGTGATTATCACCATAGCAATCAATATGGTACAAAGAGGAAATTCACCTGAGGAACAAACATTCTGGTCAATATTTGAAAAAAAAAAAAAAAAAAAAAACTCTAAGCATTAGTTAAAGTGGTACAAATTAAGATGAAAAGAAGATATACTTTTTTAAAATTTAAACTGACAATGTTTTTTTTAAAGGGTTTTGCCATAGGGCACGTGCACTTGCCAGAGAGAGAGAGGGAAAGTGAAAAATCGCCCCCCTCCCAGGGGGATGGCCATGCCTCATTGCCTTTTCCACTCTCCTCTCAGGATTTTAGGTACCTATCACACATGCCCAGCATGAGTCTCAAGCCACCAGATCCAGAACTCAAACCTGTCAACTATGTAGGAGTCCTGGGCCTTAACCACCATGCTCTCTGACGATGATTTTAAATTGAAGTACTGAGGTCAGATCTCTGGCAACGCAGTAATGCGCTGCTCAAGAGAAGCCAGATCCCACATGGTGATTGAGGTTCAAATCCCCAGCCTGGTCAGCTTGCAATATTCTGGGAACACGTAAGAATGCCCAACATCTGACAGACTAGAGGCCTGGAAGAAAGGAATTGTGACAAGATCTTTCGTCCATGCACACACACTCTATCATGAGAAAAGGAAAAAAATGTTTTTAAAAAAATTAATATATTGGGGCCAGCCCATGGTCTGGAGGTTAAGGCAACTGGATCCCACATAACCAACTATATGTTTTGAGTCCCAGACCTGGCAGCTTGACAAACAGGCCAGTAGCTTGTGTGTGCATGTCCAAAATCCCAATAGGAAGGCGAGATGGAGGAAAAGGAATGCGTGACCATGCCCCACCGGGGGTGCTTTCTCTCTCTCTCTTTCTCTTTCTCTCTCTCTCTCACTCTCTCTCTCTCTCTCTCCCTTTCTCTCTCTCCGCTCTCTCTGTAGAGTACATACACCTGCTGGCAAATTTCTTTAAAAGTTAAAATACCTATTTCCTTGTTTATTTATACCGGAGGCTCTTCTTCTACTTCTAGCCATTGGAAGATGTACTAACTTTTAAGTACCTGTTAGGCAAATGTTTCACTGGCTAGGACAGTGGCACATATATTCTATGGAATACTATTCAGCCATAAAAAACAACAAAACCCTGGCTTTTGACAGAAAGTGGAAGAATATGGAAGATTTACTGCTGAGTGAAGCAAGCCAGGCTATGAAGGAGAGACACTGTATGTCCCCACTTAATATATACCGAGTGTCCACACTCTATAACTGAAGCTGACGGGCTAAAGGATGTACAAACACAAGAGATGGGTGTGAATGCAAGATGTGGTGTGTATGGAGGAGCGGGTCCTGGGGAAAAACATTTGGAGGAGGGATACAGAGACAGCATTGTTGAGACAGGGAGGTAGTATTGTTATATTTTGATCAACTGGACCGGGGAGAAATGTTCACATATTGAAATGATCACCTTGTAAGCTAAATAATGTGATTGAATGTATTTAAAAATGTAAAGAAAAAAAAACATTGATAAGTAATGTTTATCTTAATGTTTATGACTAATCTCATGAACTAATCATTTTATTTAGATAATCTATTCTTGTTTTTGCTTTTAATGACTGTCTTTTGCTGAAAGATTTTTGATATGTGGTAATACTATTTTTATCAATTTTTTTCTGTAAATTTTTTTGTATTACTTATTTTGTGTTCAATCTACTGAAGATGTAGAAAAAATTATGTCTGTAATAACTTTATATGTAGATTATATAGTCCACAATAAAACAATTGAATCATTAAAAAATAAATAAATAAATAAAAAGTTAAAATACCTATTGTCAAACAAGCATGGAAATGGGTACTTCCATACACAGTGAGATTGTAACTTCTTATTTTGGGGGGTGATAATTTGGCCGTACCATGAGTGAATAGGGATTTTTCCTGTGTTTTGCAGGCATAAACTGAGGCCTGGAGTCTAGACAGGAATTGCCTGGGGACCTGATGATACTCAGTGATGGAGATAGATCACATACCCAACTGCAGGCAGCTTAGGTCTAGTCGGGAAAGGAGGAGAGAGTGGGACAACAGACAGTAAGGGAGTAAACACATAAGCAAGAAAATTGCAGGGAGCAGGGCCGAACGGTGGCACAGTGAAAAAACAGGATGCTCTGCAAGGCTGACCCGCACGGAAGGCTCAGAGTTCCCGTCCAGAGACCTCCTGAGTACACTGAGTCTGTGTGTGCCCTGGGGCTGACTGAAGCTGGGAAGGGACTGCAGCGTGAAGACCCTATTGGGGTGCTGTCTCTCTCTCTCTTCCTCTCTTTCTCTCTATCTCTTTCTGTGTCTCTCACTCATAGAAGAAATAAATAAGTAAAATTTCAAAAATGGAAAATTGCAAGGATCAGTAAGTGTAATAAAGAAGATACAACTGCTGGACAGAGAATGAGGGGTTTTTAGAGCAGGTGAGAGTTAAGGATGTGGTCCCTGAGAAGTGACAGGTGTTGACATTTGAGTGCTGAGAATATCATGCCGAGAGCTGGGGAAGGAGCCTTCTGGCAGAGAACACAGCTAGTGCAAAAGCCCTGAGGTGTGAGTGAACTCAGTGTGATTAAAGGACTCCTAAGACGAGCAGCTCATAGTGGATCATTTCATGTTCCCTAGGAGGAGCTGGAATGGCCAAGGTTGATTGCAGAGCTTCAAAAGCCAGCGTGGATGGCCACGCGTGGTGGGCGGAGGGATGTAATTACCCGTGGGCCAGGGCCTGGGGAGCTGAGCTGGGCTGAGAGGCTCCGGTCTTCCTGAAGGAGCCCTGGAATGTGAGAATTCCTACTGCCAGGTATTGAGTGATGAACAGTAGTGATGGCTTGAGGTGCTGCCTTTCTGAGGGAAATTGTAAATGGGGATAAAACCTGAACCTTCTAGTAGGTCCCTGAAATGAAAAAGGTGGGAATTGTTGTTGGAACATTATTGGCATTGGGGCAGGCAGAATTCATCACCTGCAGGTCTCAGCTGGGCACGTGGCACTTGCTCCCCAGGCACTTGTGTGTGACCCTCAGGAGACTTGGCTTCTTGGTCACAGTGGCTCTGGTCGTAGAAAACCCGGTCTTGGATGGCCCAGTCCCTCCACCCAGTGTGGGGTGCTAGGCCTGACCCTAGACAATCATGGCAGTTTCCAAAGGGTAATTATCACCTCAGAAGTCAAAGATGACTGAGGTGGCAGACCTGGAACAAGAGGCTAGTCTAGCTACACATGCACATGCACGCATGTATGCATGCACACATACACAGATGCATATATAATAGACACACACACAGACACACATATATATAGAAACACACAGAAACCCATACACAGAGGTGCACACATATAGAGACACACACACAGACACACAGACACTCACAAGCTATGACCTTGAGCAAGTCTCTGGACATCCTTGTGCCTCAGGCTGTAGATGGAGGGGGCATGTGTGCCCATCTCTAAGGGCCCTTCTGGGCATAAACTGACAGTGAGTGGATAGTTTCTATGTGTAGTTTGTCCCAAAGAGGGTTTTCCAAAGACTGAGCTGAGCCCGGGGGCTCTGATGACACTTCTGGCAGAGTGGTTCAGAGTGAGTTGAGAAAAGGCCCAGGGAAGGGCTAAGGGTAATGGGTCCCCCGGGCGGCATTCATTTGGAAGTGCAAGCTCCAGGGACTGGCACAAAAAGGCAATTTCATCATTTTGTGGCCACAATCAGAATGTTAATATCGCCAATGAAATTCTTTCATGAAATGCATTCAATGGGAGAAAAAATTCTTTTTTTTAATGACAAGCTATTCACAGACACCGTTATATCATGGAGGTGAAAGAAGAGAGTAGGAAGCATGGATGTGACCTTACACCTGAGCAGCTGGGACCACCCCCAGTCCCTGAGCTCTAAGGGAGCCTCACTGGAAATCTATAAGGTCTGGGAGATGGGCAGGACAACACAGGGACAGCCCACCTGGAGCCTGCAGCCCACCTGGAGCTTGTAGCCATATAGCTTCAAGGCTGAATTCAAGACTCTGAATTTTCTACCCACGGGGCTAGAGTCACTTCCAGGGCCGGGGTCAGCCCTAGTTCATAGTGTGGTCAAGGGGCTGCTGATGCTGGAAGGGTAAGGGGGTATGGACTGAGCCTGGCTGGTGTGCATGGTAGAGCTGGGGAGGGAAGGGAAAAACAGAAGAGGGGAGGGGAGGGACTGCAGAACAAGGCCAGCTCCCCCTGCACTGCTGTGTCTAGACTGAAGCTCTGAAGAACCCTTGAGATCTGAATTCAAATGTGGCCTTCTTGATCATTAGGAAGGTGTGTTTGTCGTGATGGGGAGGTAGAAATGGGTGTATTGGACAGTTTGTTCACTTGTCTATAACTTAAATATTGTGACATATGGTATGGTAGTCCCCAGCCCTGCAAATATCAGGGGAGGTCTGATTAGGGTGTATATTCCTTCTCCTGAGCCTTTTCAGACAGACAGGCTTCAAATCTCAGCCCTCTCACTTGCCAGCTATGTGGCCCTAGGGAAATGACTCTCTCTGAATCTGTTTCCTCTTCTGTAAAATGGGAGCAATAGTAGTACCCACCCTATGAGGCCGTTGTGAGAATTAGTGTGATATTGTACATGTGAACCCAGCACCACATGTGGCACGCAGCATGGCAGCTTCTGGGCACCGTGTGCCCAGTGCGCCTGCCAGCTGTAACGTGGCATCCTGACCCTTTTGTTTTCCCAGACTCCGCAGCAGTACGAGCGAGAGTACAACAACAAGCGGTCAGGCGTGGGGCCCAGCAAGTTCCACGGGTATGCCTACGACGGCATCTGGGTCATTGCCAAGACGTTGCAGAGAGCCATGGAGACACTGCACGCCAGCAGTCGGCACCAGCGGATCCAGGACTTCAACTACACAGACCACACGCTGGGCAGGATCATCCTCAACGCCATGAACGAGACCAACTTCTTCGGGGTCACGGTCAGTTCCGCACCTCCAGGCTCTGCTTTCCCTAGAGTCGCTTGGGGATATGGAAGAAGAGGGGCTGTCACACACCTCTGATATGCAGTCTGTTCTCTCAGACCATTGGAATAACTTCTTGGGGGCCATAGGATTGCAGGCCTGTTGAAACGGGCGGAGGTAGCACGTGCTATCTGACACACCGGGCAGATGCTTCTGCCTAACTTATTGATGTGAAAGGGATGGAGAGTTGACTGCACACAGGCAGGTGCCATTTACCTGGGATGGGCCAGCAGGAGCTCTGGACCCAAAGTCAGGTTCAAATCCTGGGGCTCCACTTGCAGGTTACCTTGTTTAAATTTTAGAATCTTCATTCACAGAATGGGAATACACACTCATGAAGTAATTATAAAAATTAACCACTGCAAGCTAAAAATCGCTGGTATTTGCTGCTTGTTCTGAGTCTCGAGTTTCTCATCTGGAAAATGGGTGTAATAATATATGTCTTGCATGGAAGTTGAGAAAATCATCAGTGATAATAATGACTATGATTTGCTGAATGCTCAGTATCTGCTAGACACTGTGCTTAGACTCCACAACGGTCACCTGATAGGCAAGGTTGACGTTTACCCAATAAATGCTAATAGTTATTGTTATTAATAATGATCTCACTGCACCCTTACACCATCCATCGGAGGCAAGTGCTGTTCACTCCATTAACTGCGAGGAGTCTGGAGCCGAGAACATTCAAGCCCTACAGTTAATCAGAGGCAGGTTGGGATTCGAACCTGGGTCTAGCTCTTAATCGCTACATTCCAATACTGCCTGCTTGTGGACACAGGTGGTCATTATTTGAGTTTCATAATGTACTTGTTACTGGCCTGCTCCCAGAAAATGTGGGAACTGTGTCTGAAGACTAGGTGCTGCCCTGTGTTCTAATTTACAGAGTCCATCTATCTTGGGCTAGTAAGAGGAGCTGATCAGTGAGTGCATTTCTTCACTGTGCACGTGTTCAGGCTGGCATTGGCCCTGTGCATGTGCTGAGAATGTAGATGCCAAGGTCGGATGGGTTCCCTGTCTTGGGGCCTGGGACTCAGGTGCAGGGTCAGACTTGGACAAGAGTAACAAGAAGTGGAGAGTGTACAACACCGTGGGACAGACTCTATAAGCCTGGAGGGATTTCTTTGGCCTTGGGTGAAAAAATTCAGGAGAGCATTTTTTTTAAGGTTTTGTTTTTTGTTTTTTGTTTTTTGGTTTTTTTTTTTGCCACAGGGCACATGTTTTGCTGGAGAGAGACAGAGAGAGGCAAGGTGAGAAATGACCCCCCTCCCTAGAGGGTCTGGTGACACCACAATCCCTTCTCCTCCATTCTCCTCCTGGGGTTTTGGCCACACGCACACAAGCACCTGGTATGAGTTTCAAGCCACAGGATCTGGGACTCGAACCAGGGTGGGCCATATGGGAGTTCAGTCCTTAACCATTATGCCACCTGCTGGTTGCAGGGTAGCCATTTTGGGTGAGACAGCATTTGAGCCATGCCTTAAACAGTAGGTAGGACTTAGACATGTATAGAGGGGCCCGATATCTGGCCAGATGGAGCCTGGGAAGCTTGGGAGAAAAGCATGTGTGTATGTGTGTGCCTGTGTGTGTGTGTGTGTGTGTGTCTGTGCGTGTGTGCGTGCACATGCGTGCATATGCGTGTGGTGAGTGGGGGGGTGGGGTGGGTGGGAAGGAGATGATTCCTGGGACCAGAACACTGGAAAGGTAGGTGATGAGGCTGAGAGACAATTTGGGGCCCAATTCTGGAGGGCCACGCCATCCTCAAAGTGTGCTCAGCCTCACCTGGGAGCTTGTTTAAAGTGCACATTCTCGGGCCCTACCCCAGGCTCACAGAATCAGAGTCCCTGGGAGTGGGTGGAGGCCAGCCATCTGTGTTTAACAACCACCCCCACCCCAAGTGATTCCAACACGTGCTAGAGTTTGAGAACCACCTCTGTGGGCGATGGGGAGGTGCTGCAGTTTGCTAAAAAGGAATCAGTTTCAAAATCCCTCCGGAACGGGAAAGCCGCCCTGGGCCTGCAGCCTCTGGGCAGCTCCTCCCACAGTGCAGAAGTAAAGGCTCTGTATAGTTATTGCGAAGTCTGCTTTTACTGCACAGCCTAGATTCAGGCCGGAAACTTTCACAGCTTTCCTCAGACCAGTGACTTAAAACATTTTTTTTTTTATCCTCAGAACCTCTTATTATAAAGTCTCACATGGAGCCTGTTATATAAGTAAGATTAAAGAGGAGCTTTTTAGTCAAAGAGTGAAGCCCAGACCCGGTTTGGTCAACTCGATTCTTCCCACAGCGCTCTTCCTACCCCAGTGCCTCTGAGACCCACCCTGCAGAAAGGCTGGACAGAGCACCAGTCAGAATACTTCCTAAGTCCTTTCTCTTCCTTGTACAAGTTCATGGACTGAGATTCAGAGAAGGGTGGGGTTTACCCAGATTCCACAGGTAGTTCTGGAGCAGGGCTGCTTTAAAACATGCACCCTTAATTCAGGTCATCTTTCCATGTTTTGGTTATTTATCAGGTCGTTGGGAAAGTCATGACGTATTTTTTTCTATGCAAAAATGCACCACGACTTTTCCAACGACCCAATAGTAGAATGAATTCTTAGTCTCTAAAGTTGAAATGGGTGAATAGAGAACCACAGACTCTAGGAGGCCTTTTGCCTAGATGCCTGCCATGTCTTAGTTGGAGATCATTTGTGCCCACTCTGTGTGCTCCATCATCTAAGCCAGGTCGCAGGACCCACCCTTGATGGGTGCGCAGGCCTATAACGCTTCCCATGGCCCAAAGACGAGTTTCATTTTAATGGGGAATTCCTTGATACCTATTCACACCTGCTCCAGTTTGTAACTCATAATCCAGTGACCACCAGAACTGAATGTGGCCTTAAATATCCTCACATTTGGCTCTACTTTGATGATGCATACTGGCTGAAGCCACATGGGAAGCCCAGGTTCAATTCCTGGCCCACCCTAAAACCCCAGAGTGTAGTACATACCAGCGGTCCTAGCTACCTGGGAGGCTGAGGCAGGAGGATTTTGACATAGCAAGACCTATCTAAAATAATAATAAATCCTCAAATCCCATGCCCTCCTGGTATAGATGAGTATCTGAAGTCCAGAGAGGGGGAAATGACTCCAGTGTCACCTGGCAGGACTGTTTGGCAGAGACCTGACTGACCCTGCATCCTCCTGACTCAAGGCCACCTCCTTTCCTATTGTACAAGTCCCCTTTAGTTGAGCAAGATGGCAACGGTGAAAGAGTCCTGCACTTTGTCTTACTCTCCTCCTTATCCTGTCTGTCACATATTAGTATGAGCTTGTCACCAGATCGTAGACAGGTTTCATTACAATTGTCTTCTGATCACAGAAAAAGGACATCTTCTGACAATATAAAAAGTGTCTCTGTGGTCCAAGGAGATCACAGAAGGCCAAGATCAGCTATAAATAAAGAGTTAGAAAGGAAAGGAACAAGGGAGGTGGAAATAAATTGAGACATTTTCCATTTGCTGAAGGGTTTTCATTATACAACACACACAGTATCCATTTTTCCACTCTCAGGCAGACACTTTATTCTGGGTCACCCTCATCCAGCATGTTTACTATTACGGAAAATCGTTTAAACACATTAAATTAATTATATTTGTGACTCAATTTCTATTGATTCCGTATGCACACTCTCGGCTGGGAGCTGGGCCTGAGGCTCCTGGTTGGTATGTTGAAGAAATTTCTTCCATGTAGCCTAGGTTGAGAATCCAGTTTAGCTTGGGGACTAGCTCTGTTATATCGTCTTAGGAATTTCCCTCTCGGGACCAGAAGTTGGCATAATGGCTATGACACTGGACTCCCATGTGGTTGACTGCAGTTTGAATCCCAGACCTGGGGGCTTAAACTCAACGCCAGGCACATGTGTGTGTGTGTCCAAGATCCTGAGAGGAGAAGGGAGGAGAAGGGATTGAGGTATGGCCATCCCCCCTGGAGGGGTGATTTCTTGCTTTCTTTCTCTCTGTCTTTCTGGCGAGCGTACATGTTCTATAGCAAAAACCTCTCCAAAGGAAAAAAAAAAAAAAGGAGCTTCCCTCTCAGCTGCCCTTCTTAGGGAAACCCACTGAAATGGGAGTCTACATATCTGCTTGCCTGGCCTGGGGTTGCTGCTCACCTCTGACTCCCCAGGGTGCTTTATGATGCTCAGCCCTAGTTAGCTCTCCAAGGTCTGGAAACCTCAGGATGCTTCCTCACTTGGAGGCCCCTCTTCTGCCAAATGTGTGACCACGAAACTCAAGCTAGAAATAGCTATTGAGGCCTCATGTCTCAAGTACTCTCAGGCATAGAGTACTCTGAGAGTCCTCTCATCTGAAAATGATAAGGGGTAGGAACCCAGCTTAGCAGCATTCACTGAGGGCAAAGGTTCCTGAACTTTGCTATGCATGCGGTCTCCCAAAGAGCTCTGTTAAAGATTCAGCTGCCCCAAGCGGACCCAGAACTTCTGATTCAGTTGTCTTTCGGTAAGGCTCAGGAATTCACATATTAACAAGGAGGCCATATCATTCTCAAATAGTAATCTTGGGAACTTCTTGGGGCACCAGTGTAGATATGAGCACGTCCACATGCGTGTGCACACACACAACACATACACACTTTGGGATTGTAAACCTGTAGAAGATGCATTTTTTTCATATTAATTCACTGCATTAGCAGTCTTTATGCTGGGTACTTGGAGTATAAAGAATAATATTGAGTGGTCCCTGCCCTCAAGAGCCCCCTCCCCTACCAGTGGGGAACATAAGTAAGTAGATGAATAATTGCTGGGCAGTTTTTGAGGTCTGCCCAAGGCTCCTGGAGGGAAGACAGTGCTTCCCCTAGGGGAGTAAAGACCGGAGGTTGTTGTCATATGAAGAATTGTAAGGAACCCATTCCGAGGGTACTTATCCTGTGCTATGTGTTAGGAGTGAGGATGCAAGACCAGGCT